ACATGAACTTCGCAGATACATTGTTGAGAATCTTGACATCATGCGAATTTAATTAATTTGATTTAATAGAACAAGTTAGAACTCAGAATACAGATGAACTAGGGTTAGCTAATCTGCTAGCAGAGATATGAAGTTAAATATTTCACATTTTTCTTGGTGATTCATTTATTCTACATTTCTGTATACTAGGTCAAACTTCGAATTCAATTCAACCACCAGAAAGCAGGTGTGGCTCCCAGGACAAAAATAAATTGTGCAATGAGAAGACATGCTTTTCATGCAACAGTAAAAGAGAAGAAAATTCGCAAACAGTCAGAGGCACAATTTTGGTGAGTAAAATTGACTGTCATAATATGTCGAAGCAAAGAATAGACTACCTGCAGTTGTTTACTGAAATTTGATTCAACTTGTAACAGATACCTTGTAGAACAGCAATGAGAGGGAGCTTTCCGCTCAATGGAACATACTTTCAAGTTAATGAGGCAAGTCTTATTCAAACTAATCTCCTTGAGTTTATCTACTGTGCACAGTCTGGATTAAGTTAATAGCAAACCAGAAAGTACACCTTATGCAAGTTAGATTAACCACTAGCCTGAACTCATGCAACCCAATTGGTAAAGAGTCTATGTGCCTACCCTAATGAGAAAAGCTGTTGCTACTTCATCCAGTTCTCTAAGCCAGAATATCAGAGCCATTAATGTCCAGATTTATAAACAAAGTTCTATCACAATGCAGGTGTTCGCTGATCATGATTCTAGTTACAATCCAATTGATGTTCCAAGGCAGTGGATATGGAATTTGCCAAGACGGACCGCATACTTTGGAGCTTCTGTAACGTCAATATTTAGAGGTAAGAGAAATCTAGATACTTGCCAACTAAAGATGTAAAAATTAGTTGCAATGGAATACCTATTGTCTAACAATGAAATACCTATGTCTATCAGGTCTATCAACAGTGGGAATTCAATACTGCTTTTGGAAAGGTATGTGTTTTCAACTTCAGTTCTTAGTGATTTGTCTGCCCAGTTTGATGATAACTCTCTAGGCACAAGTACAGAAATAAGAAGATAACACAAGATCATGAATTTAACTTCCAACAAAAACTACATTGTATTTGGCAACTACAATAAACGTCAACGCAGCCTACTTAATTGCTTGCAAATACATCTTGTTCCGGCAATTCTTCTAGAATCGATCACAAGATCATATAAGTCTATTTAGAATATTCAAATATCCCAGTCATATAAAGCTAATGGATTTGATCATTTGAGTGACTAAATCATTTGAACATAACATTTAACTGATTAAGCAACTGTTAAGTTCAGACATGGCAAAGGAGGTACACTATCAGACATGATAATGAGAGGTAAACTATTAGAAGATTAGTTTACACCTGTACATAAATTTACGTAAAAGTAAAGATTAGTTATACTACTAGATTATTAACAAATGGACTGATTTTAAGTGACTAAAAATGTAAATCATAAACTTTTAACAAAGGGCCTGTTTTGTAACCTTTTCCTTTCTAGTTTTTAGTTTTTTTCTATTTTCTTTTTGGGGTTAAGAGATAGAGTATAAGCAGAGAGAATGGATGTGAAGGGTGGAAAAGGAGTGGTGGTGGGAGGAAGATGGAAGAAATGTACACGGGCCCTAATCTGTCTTCATTCGTCCCATACATTTCCCCTCTACATGTCCTACCAAAAACCAAAAGGCTACCAAACAGGCTCTAATTTGTAGTTATAATGAAAAGGAAAACATGAACTTGTCGTTGACAAAAGTTTAGCATGAGGTCATTCAACTGACACCTTATTTCGTGGACAAAAGTTGAGTTCCAAAATTATGCAGAAGGTTATTCAACTAAGTTAACTTGCTCCTTGATTTGCAGGATATGTTTGTGTGAGGGGATTTGACCGGAAAACAAGAGGACCAAGACACATAAATCCCACATTGCACATGCCTGCAAGTGAGTTGACCAAGACTAAAAAGGAAGAAAAAAGATAAACAGATCATAGTGCAGAGAAGATTTTGATTAGAAACACAGAAGATTACTGACTGTTTGAGAAGAACAATGACTAAGAAATCCTAGCATCTTCAATTGTTCTTCCTCTAGCATGAGATGCAGTCACTATATGTTCAGACGGCCAGCAGAAAGTGGTTTTCAAACATAAAATGTGAGATCTCGTGACAAGTTGATTGTAATCTGTCCAGAATTATAATTACTATTTTCAATAAATGAACTGGTTATGTGTGGGTTATTTGCTCCTCTCCACCAAGATGCTGAAAATACTAAGCATCTATGACCTAAATCTTAGATGTTCAAGGTTGTCAAGTTTATGAACAAGTTACAAGTAATATTCAAACCATGCTGAATCTCAACAGGTTAAAAGGTCTGAAAGCATGTAGAACATGTCAAACAAAGTAGGGCAAATATTCAATTATGCTCATATATGCTCATATGCTCATATTTTTATTCTTCTCCAATATGGGGGGTATTTATAAGGAAATACAACCCTTAAAAAAATAGGAAATAAATCTAAATTACAATAGGAAATAAATCTCAATTATAGTAGGACTAGACAAATGGGTAAGTAACCAAAATCCTAACATAGTAAGGAATCAAAATCCTAACTAAATAAGGACTTGCCAACATTCCCCCTCAAGTTGGGGCAAAGATGTTCACATGCCCAACTTGACAAGCAATGTTTTTAAAGTACGCTCATTTTCAATGTTTTTAAAGTTTTTTTGATTTCATTGGATTGAAAGTGCATCTTTTATACCATGAGTGTATATGCTTGATTTCCTACATGCAAACTATGCAAAGAAATGCATGATTTTTGTTTGATAATTGAATTTGCGAAATGTTTGAAACATGAATTACATTAATAATTGCTTTTTATAATACATGTATTGAGTTTTAGAAAAACTGAAGTTTCTGTTTTTTGAAAGACACTAGAATGGTTTAATGAACATGCCTATTTTGATGCGCAATTAAATAAAGAACTATCATGAAAATGTTTCTAAATTTAGATGTTACTCTTTCATGATTAATGAAATATATGAGCATGTATCTTTTTATATAATAAATGACAACTATGCTTTTATAAGTTTTCTCATTCAAGGTTATATGCATATATATTAGTAGAACTCATGATTTATATATGTATAATTAAAGTTAACAAGAGGCCAAGTGTAGAAATTTAATTAGTTTGCTTAGGTAGCATGAAAACTTGGACCTTGCATGGTTATTTCGTAATATAGTTATCATGAGTTTAATAGCATTTGAATCATAGTCAATATAAACATGAAGTTTATAGATAAATGAGATGTTTATGGTTGGTTCTATTGCTGAAAACTTTCTGTCATAATTTGACTAGTAAGAAATATATTATAAATATTATGGATTGCAGATGATGTATATTTGAATGTACTTTTGGCTCTTTTGAAGAAACAAAGATTGATAAGTTAAGGAGTGTGATTTTCATGGAAAGATACCTCTTGATAAAAAGGTTACATAGTATCTCCATGGAAACGTACCTCTTGGTATAGAGGTTGTAAGTATGAATTTAAACGATATAACTTCCATGGAAGGAACTCTTTAATGAGTTGGTATGTCCATGATGAAATGATATATAATAGGTGGAGGTACATAACCACCTAGCAAAAGACACATATGGTTCTCTATTTATAGAGAATGTATCCTGCAAAGTTTTATATAATGATTTGATTTATATTTTGATTGATATTAGAAGCAAAGTTTAATGCATAGCATGGTTATTATTATTTGAGTTATGCTATTCATTAATGACAAGACCTGACCCAAATTCCACTTTGGAATCTGAGCCAAATCCTGTGCATGTCCAACACCTGGCAGGTGCCGGGCACACTTGACCAAATTGCCCTTCTAATTAAGACTCAAAATTCTTTTAAGGTTTGACTTCTGCCGAAAATTTGGCAGTCTCCTTTGTAATTCGCTCGTTTCCCAAAATTTTCACCTATATAAAACACAATTCTACAATCTTAAACATTCAGCATACAAGAATTTTATCCATACTCAATTTAACAGTGGTTCACAACATAAACAAAGCACTAGCATTCACCTTGTTATAAACGAGAATTAACGGTAATCCATATTTTGCTCAATTACAATGGGTTACAACTAGACCCATTCAAAACACAAAGTTAACCCGAGCCGCATTCCTCGCAAAACTCAGGGGACCCTTAGTCAACCTGAGCCGCATCTCTCGCAGAACTCGGGGGACATTTAGTCAGCCTGAATCCTCACACCACACGGTTTAGGCATCCCCGAAACTCGTGGGGCATTATCATAAATGACAAAACTGTTAATGCATACAACACTTGCATTATAAAAGATGAATTGGTTGATGCACTTCACTAATGCATACAACACTTGCATTATAAAATCTGAATTGGTTGATGCACTTCTCCAATAAATCCCACCAGCAGCCCTAGCTTTCTTCTCTTCATCCATTCATCCAAATTAGGCCTTAACATGCTTGAATTGCATGAATTATGCTCTCTAAAGCCATCATTATTACCTAAAGCTCAATGAACTGAAAGATAAACACAAAAAGGATTAAAAGCACAAGTTTAACTCAAAAACATAACCAAATCATAAGCTAGAAGGGTACAAAATGATATACAATTATGAACCGATCAATACTATAATCTCAAAATCCAACCATAATCAAAATAATTCACAAACAGTCAAGCCTCGTCTATAGGATCGTTCTTGTACTTCTTGAAGTATGAAACTACCTCAGAAGACTCTCGGTCAACTAAGTGGTCAAACTTCCCAAATTTGGTCAACCTGGCCCTTAGGCCCACCACCTCCAATTTTCGATCCGAAAGTTCCTATGGGTTCAACTAGGTTTAATAAACATGTCCTGCCTGTTTGGTCCAAATCAAACATGCGGATCGCTTGTGATCGCACAATCAGACAGTTATCGTTTTAATAAACCCGGATAACGCCTAATATGCGATATCCGATCGACAGTCAAAGGGTATACAAATTCAAAACCGAGCATACCGTCGTGCTCAGGATGACATGTGGATTATTTTAGGACTCAAAGACTAGCCACAAAGTGGCCCATGTGTTGTTGGCACGTGGGTGTCCAAAGAGATTCCGGCAATTGGAAAATCTCCAAATCGCCAGTCAAGACTTATACCTATATGATCAGAACAATCGCTAATTCAAGTTACAAAATGCATAAATCAATCCTAAATAACCCAGCCATCAGCTAGAACACATTTGTAAATGGAGTCGATCCAACTTTCCTAACATAATAAACCCGGATAATGTCTAATATGCGATATCCGATCGACAGTCAAACGGTATACAAATTCAAAACCGAGCATACCGTCGTGCTTGAGACGACATGAGGATTATTTTAGGACTCAAAGACTAGCCACAAAGTGGCCCACGCGCTTGGCGCGTGGGTGTCCAAAGCGATTCTGGCGATCGAAAAATCACCAAATCGCCGGTCAAGACTTATACCTATATGATCAGAACAATCGCTTATTCAAGTTACAAAACGCATAAATCAATCCTAAATAACCCAGCCATCAGCTAGAACACATTGAGAGGATGAAAAGCATACCTAGTTCGCAGAAATTGGCGGCCGGAATC